GCAGTCGGTCGGTTCGATTCGGTCGGTTATTGCATCGTTGCCACGTTGTTGCGCCCTTCTAGATTTTACGTCGGCCTGTCGATTTCGGTTTCGGTTTCGGTTCGATCTTCGATTTTGTTGTCGCCGTGCGCGGCCTTGGAAATGGGGCGGGCCTTCCCGGCGCAGCAGAAGACCGCATCCACAGTTGAGCGGATGTTTTTTCAGGAGGGAAAGAAACACGCACAGGCAAGGAAGCGTCGACTCCCCGGAAGACATGGAAAAACATGGGGGGGAAGATTGTGGGAAACATATGGGGAGAACATGGGAAACGGGTGGTTTTTGATTTTTTGATTTGCGCGCGGGTGATCGTCTGCCGAACACTCCTGCCCGTGGCGCCGAAACGACGAGCGAGGGGCCCGAAGAGGGGCCGAAAAAAACGAGGGACGGACCAGGATCCGACAGAGCCGAGCGAAGGACCGAACCGAGCAAACAGGGACAACGAGAAAAACGAGGGCCCGAACAGACAAGCGATGCTGGCAAGACTGGTGAGACACTTTGAAGCCCGCGTCCTGGCTCTGGGGAAAGGCATGTGGGAAGTGGGGGATCCTGGGATGTGTGTGTGTGTGTGTGTGCATTCCTCTGTGTGTCCCGGGGCCCCGCTAGGTTTCTGGGGGGTGCCTCGGGGGCGGCGCCTGGCCGGCCTCGACGCGAGCCTCGGGCTGTGGTTTTGTGGTCGATCTGGCCGTCCTCCCCCTCCTCCTCCTCCTCCTCCTCCTCCTCCGCTCCTCCTCCTCCTCCCTCCTCCTCCTCCTCCTCCTCGTCGTCTCCTCCTACTCCTCCTCCTCCTCCTCCTCCTCCTCCTCCTCCTCCTCCTCCTCCTCCTCCTCCTCCTCCTCCTCCTCCTCCTCCTCCTCCAAGGTTGCTTCGGTGTTCTGGCGGTTGCTGGCGTGCATAAGACATCCCCTACAGGGTCCGGCTTGAATAAGGATTACTTACTTTTCAAAATGGGCTCGGTCGTTCCCTTGGTTCGAGTGCGTTCCGCTGCCTTATTGGCGGCGGGGCCCCCTGGTGTTCCTTCGGACTTCCTAGGATTACTAGGAAAAAAAGGCTTCGTTCTTAGTGGGCACCAGAAACGGCAGGGCCGTTTTTTCATCGTTTCCGAGAAAGTGTCCCTTGAAAATGGAAACGGCAAAAAAACGGCGACCAGAAACGGCAACAAAAACGGCTCCAGGATTGGAACCGGAGCCGGAACCGGTCAAGCAACGGCGACGGAAGCGGTAAGCAAACGGCGTCGGAGCCGGCAAGAGAACGGCAAAACGGAACCGGTAAAAAAAGCGGCCCTGTCGTTTCCAGGGCCACTAAGGCTTCGTTCCTTATTTGCCGTTCCTCAGGCCACGCCGAATCCTGTAGTGTGTGTTCTCGACCTGCTCGTCCTGCCGCCCTGGGCCTCCCGCCTGCGCGTTCGCCGTCGCCTGCCGGCTTGTCGTTCCCCGTCTCCCCCGCCGCCGCCGCGCAGCATCGGCAGCAGGGAGCCTGCGGCTTCACGTGCACACACTGTGGGGGCCCAAAGGATACACACCACCACCACCACGTCGATTCCTCCTCTCTCCTCTTTCCAGCGAGAGGGAGGGGGTCGGGCGAAGAGAACTATGCACATGCACCGATCCTGGCAAGGCCCATTTTTGACCCAGGATCGGTGCATATGCCTTCCTGGCCAAGGCAGGAGGGCGTATGCACCGATCCTGGGCTCAGGATGGGCCTGGCCAGAGTCGGTGCATGTGCATAGTTCTTTTCCCTCTAGGGGGGAGGGAGGTGGTGGTGGTGTACATTTTTGGGCCCCCTGCACTGCTTTCCGAGTGCCTCCCGCTCAGGGGGCCGCTCTGGGCCCGCAGGGGCCTCTGTCCTTCCTGCCGCCCCGATGGGGAACAGCCCATCCTTCAAGGGGTGACCAGGAGGAGGAGGATGAGGAGGAGGAGGAGGAGGAGGAGGAGGAAGAGGGAGGAGGAAGGAGGAGGAGGAGGAGGAGGAGGAGGAGGAGGAGGAGGAGGAGGAGGGAGGAGGGAGGAGGAGGAGGAGGGAGGAGTGGAGGGGAGGAGGAGGAGGAGGAGGAGCAGGAGCAGGAGGAGGAGGAGGAGGAGGAGCAGGAGGAGGAGGAGGAGGAGGAGGAGGAGTGGCCAGCGGGGCCCGGGTCGGAGAATTTCGTTGTGCAGCTTTTTGGCCGTCCTTCGACAGGGACGGCCCCGGCCAGGGTGGCCCCAGCTTCCCAGTGCCGATCGACCGCAGCTCCTCTCCGCTGCGCATCCCGCCCGGCGCCCGGTTCAATCCGATCAGCGAGTGCGTTGCTCGCGGCGTTGACGGTGCGTTTTTCCCTAGAGCCCGTGCGGTGCAATTGGAAAAATCCATTTGCTGTTTGCAGTGCTCGCTGACAAGGTCGGCCTCCCTTCTCCAAGGGGTGGCGGCGCGGAACTCATCTCGCGTCGCGTATCGCGCCCCGATGCCCGAAGTTGTTGAGTTCGGTGGCCTCGGTGCATCCTTGTACATGTCTGTGCGTGTGCACCCGCTCAAGGTACGTGCAAGGCAGCGTGCATGAGCCAGGCGCGGCAGCGGCAGCGCGGGCCGTGGACGTAGCCCAGCACGTGGCGGAATAGACCTGTGCATGCGTATTGACCTGTGTCGATGCCTGTGCCGATGAAACAGCCCTTCCTGCCCTCCCCCAGAGCGCCAGGATCGGTCGCATGTGTTCTGGCTATCCCCCAGCCCTGGCTTCAGAAGTCCAGAGTCACCCGGGTGTCAGAGGCAACGATAGGGGGGACGCATCGACCCCCGATCGCCCAATGATCGCTGAGAAGTTTTCAGGCAGCCCACACCGCCCAGGAACGTGCGGATTTGCAATCGGGGGCCTATTGCCGATCGGTCGGCGATGTATCGCCGATTCCACCCCCCAATGCAAGTTCCCTCTTATCCTTGCACCTCAGGGTGGGGGGTCACCCGGGCGACGCCAGCACAGGACCCATGGGGGGCCATCCGGAAGGAAAGCATTCCTGGGGCGCGCCGAGGAACCCAGGGAGTCCTGTTTCCGCGGGAGAGGGAAAGAAATCCTACGGGGCTACCCAGCCTAGAGCTCCGGAAGAGGAGCGAGCTCTCAGCCGCGGGGGTGCTGGTGCGCGGGGTCCCCCCCTCTCTCCAGCGCAACCAGAGGAGGGAACGCGCGAGAGCCCAGAGTGTGAGCGTAACGCAGCATCACTCTAATAGTAGTTGCATCAGGCAATGTTGCTAGTGTTTTTTGCCGTGTACTGTGTGTCCCATTTTCGAAGTCGACACAATGTATTGTCTCCTATTCCTGAATCGCGATTCTGGTTTGCTTCCGTATTCCCATGTCGTGACCCTACAGTGTTTCTTTTTCCTACGTCACGAGTCTAAACTGCTTCCCCAATTGTTTCAATCGCAATTCGAACTCATTATTTGTATTGCAGGGCCAGGTAAACTCTAGGAGCAGCTGCGCGCTAGCACATGATGGTGCCAGTTGTACCCAGGTGCCAGGTGCACTCTAGCTGGAGGAGGTCAGAGGTTCCAGTGGCAATACGCGCGCCGAGGAAGGGAGAAGTTCTCGAAGCTTCGCGTATCCCCACCAATTCCCTCTTGGCGATCTGGAACCCTTCCGTTGAGCGCCTGCACGCCCGTTCGTCGTCTTCGTGTATGTGGACTTCAAGATTTTCGCCATTTTGGTGCTGCTTCTCGACCAGTAGCTCCGCTAGGTCCACCGCTTGAGCCGCAGCGTAGCTCGCTCCCGTGCGCTCTCGTGCGGAATTCAGTCCGCTGCTCGTTAGCCGCGTTTCTTGACGGCGCCTGGAATTCCTGCGCGCTCGCGAACGAAAAAGTACCCCCACCAGTTTCCTTCTTGTTCAACCACCTGAGGTTGACTGTTGGCATGCGACACTGGTGCGCAGGGCTGCTTGCTCAGCTCCACGCTATGCCGTGCTTTGCGTGGGTGGTTCGTTTACCTCTGGCGCCTGGCGCGACAACGTACAAGTAGTTCGCCTTCCTGGTGATTTCACCCCTGGAATGGTTGCACGTCAGCCGCCTGGCACACCTGGCACCCCTTGCAGCTCTGCCTTGAGTCCCCGGCGTCGCCCCTCGGCGTCCCTCGGCGGCAGTTTCGGCGGCCGTTAGTTCGTGCGCTTAACTAATTCGGTTTGGCTCGTTGCCCGGGCTTGCGCTTCCGCTTGCGGCCGCGACGAACAAAATCCCCACCAGCCCATCCAGCAACGATGCCCATGAGAGCTGACAGGGGGAGAGAGAGGAAGGGACACGCGTAGTTCAACAGCGAGGGAAGCCGGTGTGGACGGCGAGTTGGAGCCATCTCTTGGCCCGCGTGGGGGGGGGGGGGGCGAAGAGGAGGAGGATAAGGAGGAGGAGGAGGAGGAGGAGAGAGAGGGGAGGAGGAGAGGAGGAGGAGAGGAGGGAAGAGGAAAGAGGGGGAGGAGGAGGGAGGAGGAGGAGGAGGAGGGAGGAGGAGGGAGGAGGCAACAGGAGCAAAACGAGGATGAGGAGGACGATGACTAAGAGAGTGCGGAGGGGGAGGAGGCGGAGGAGGAGGAGGAGGAGGAGGAGGGGGACTCCAGAAACTTGTGGCCATGTCGAACCACCCCGATGCCCGGTACTTCGAGTCCGTGTCCGCGGGCCGGCCAGCCTTGGGGCGGATTCAGACTGCAGGTGCGCGTGCGGGGGGGGTCGCCAAGGAACGCGGCAAGGCGTTCCCGACCAGACAGGCAGCGGGGGCACCACCAAATCAAGTGTCAGGCTGTTGGCGCCCGCGGTATCGAGGCCGCCAGCAGCCGCCAGGCCGGGGCCGGCGACCGATAGCAAGGTTGGGGGGCGGATTTACCGAAACTCGAAACCGATTTCCTCCTCTTTTTCCCCCTTGTCCCTACTCCCCTTCCTCCGGCCGCGCAAGCAGACGATGGTGCCCTCGTTGCCTGCTATACAACGAGAAACAGCGCCCCTCCCCGCATGCGTCGCAGGTGTGTGGCGCGTAGCAGAGAAAACGCCAAAGGTGGATTTGGCGGAGTGGCTCAAGGACGCGCCAGACCGGAATGTCAGAATTGTCGACGCTGTCAAATTCTCCGGATATGTGCTGCTCGACAAGATGGCATGGGAGAAACGGGAGGCTGAGATCGCGACCGGCGTTGTGCAGGGCCCGTTCAGTGTGAATGAAGTGGACTTACTGGCCATCGCGGTGCACCCGAGCTTCCCAGTATGGGAGCGAGGTTCACAAGGCCAATGGAAAGCACGCAACATTGAACACTTGAAGGCAAGTGGGGCCAACGCAACAGTGCACACGTGCGAGGCGTACGCCCCTGACGACGTAGACATGGCGAGGGCAGCCGTCAGGTTCTGCAAAGAGCTCTGGGGCGGCGACGAGCCTTTGGCGGGTTTCTCTTCTGACTACAGCGGGGCCTTCCGGCAAAACCCCCTGTCGCCCGATCAGATACCATACATGTGGTCTGCCGTGCGACACCCGGGCCGCAGAGAGCCAGTGTTGTTGAGGAATCTTGGACAGGTGTTTGGCGGCGCAGGGGCGCAGTTCAATTATGTCCGAGACCTTTCAGCAATGTGTTCGGTAATGCGTCATTCCTTCGACGTCCCAATGCATCATTATAGTGACGACGCATGGGCTGTGGAGCGCGCGTCGACTGCGCAGCCTGCGTGGTTCTGTTGGCTGTGGCTCAACAAAGAGGTGGGGTGGCGCCTCGACCTCGCCAAATCACCGCTGCCGTCGGGCACCTGGAGGTTATTGGGCGCAGAGCTCCATGTGGGCTGCCCGCAGCCCCTGGCCCGACTGTCCCGGGACAGAGTGACGACGCTGTTGGCCGACCTCGAGTGGTACCTGCAGCGCGGTCGTTTGAGTTCAGCAGAGGCCGGATCCTTGCGCGGCCGGCTGGGCTGGGCGCGCTCTTTCTTGTTCGGCTTCCTTGCGAGCCTCCTTGTCTTGATTCTGGGCCGCAGTGTCAGAACAGTCAGGGCGCGAAGTTCCCTTCGACCTCGGGGATTGGCCCCTCCTGGTCACCGTCAGCGACGGAGAGGGTACTGGGCGCGTCGCGGTGGGCATTTGGAAGCCGCGCGACCCAGGATTTCGCCCCATGCTCACGGCCGCCAGCGTCCCATCCGAGTGGCTTCGCCGGTGGTCAGGTGACGGCCGCCGCGGCGACGCCATCCAGGAGATTGAGGCAGTCGGCCCGCTTCTGGCCCTTGAAACGTGGCCTTCCCTGTTGACCGAATGCGCGTGGATTCATTTCATCGACAACGAGGGCGCCAAGCATTCCCTCATCAAAGGGTCCTCCAAGGCTGTCCACACCAACCAGATCATCTTCGCTACTTGGGAGGCATGCCGTGCCCGGCGTTTATATCAATGGTGGGAGCGCGTCCCTCGGCAGACAATCCGGTTGATAGGGCTTCCCGAGGTGACCTCAGCGACCGCTACGGCCAGATTTGGGAAATTGTCGAGCCCGTCCTGCCTGCGCTGTGGAGCGGGGAGCCGGATCGGGCGGAGGCGCGGGGGTGAGGCTTGGACAAGGCCGCGTGTCCCCAGCCACAGACAGAAGACAGCATTGCATACCTATAGCCAAAGAGAGTCCCAGAAAAGTGGGGAGGTAGGAGGAAGGAAGGAAAGGGGGGAAGGAAGAGGCACTGGAAGGACGGGAGGAGGTAGAGTGATAATTGGAACTCAAAGCATTACAAATCAATGCGAAGCAAGGCAGTTCAAAGTCATGTAACGTAATGCCAGGCAACGCAACGCAATGCAATGCAAAGCAAGTCGACGCGTGACTGATATGTAATGCGATCGCAAAGCAGTGCATGACTATGGAAAACAACGCCAAATAGCGCAAGGCAGCGTAAGGCAAAACAGCACAACGCAACGCAACACAAGGCAACGCAACGCAATACAAAGTAGTGTAATGCCATGCGATTGTAAGGCAATGCGGTTGCAATGCGACGCGTTGCAAATCAATGCTATAACAATACGACTGCAATGCAAAAGGCAGCGCAGAGGCGAGGCAGTGCAGATCCATGCGCTGCAACGCAAGGCACTATAGCGCAACGACGTGCAGCGATCTTGCTGTGCGCTGCAGCGGCCGCGGCGCAATGAGATCGCAAAGCAGGGCTGGACTGAAACGGTGTTTTTGTGATTTCGTGGGCCGTTATCATTTCGATGCCGCTTTGCGGTAAAAGGGCGAATCGAAAACACAGCGAGGGAGAGAACGAAAGCGAAACGAAGACGAACAACACTGCTTAAGTTCAGCCCTGTCGCAGACCAGCGCAGTGCGACTGCAGTGCAGCGCAGCGTGGCTGCGCTGCAAACGGGGGAGGCGCAGACGGGGCGTCGGCGGCGGACGGGAAAAGGGGCCGCCGGGCTCGCACTGCCGGGTCTTGTCTGGAACAGAGGAATGCGGCGACGCACGGGAACGGGGGGAGGAGGAGGAGGAGGAGGGTAGGATGAGGAGGAGGAGGAGGAGGAGGGGAGGAGGAGGCGGAGGAGGAGGAGGGAGAGGGAAGGGGAGGAGGAGGAGGAGGAGGAAGAGGAAGAGGAAGAGGAGGGGATGAGGAGAGGAGGAGGAGGAGGAGGAGGGAGGGAGGAGGAGGAGAGGAGGAGGAGGAGGAGGAAGGAGGAGAGGAGGAGAGGAGAGGAGGGTGAGGAGGAGGAGGAGCAGAGGAGGGGGAGGAGGGAGGAACGGGAGGAGGAGGATATCGTTTGGGCCGTAGATGAGCCCAGCTTCTTGTAAGAGACGTAGGGCTCTGAAAACGGATGTGCGCGGGGCTGGAGCGAGAGCAACATTCTGAAAATGAACGGCTCTCCATCTTTGAAATTGCTGCAGTTGTTGAAGACCATTGCTTGCGGCGCTGAGGCGAGCGCTCCATTTCGAAAACTACCGCGCTTCCATCAGGGGGGCCGTTCCACATCACAAGGTTCAGGAACATAACAGGTGAGGAAGTTGCGGGCGAAACGTCGGGCCCGCTCTACCAACACGTCTGGTTGTGCGACAGGGCTGTTTTTTTGTCGAACCAAAAGTAAGGAATGGATGCGCCGGGGAGGAGGAGGACTGAGGCGGAGACGGAGTAGGAGTGAGGAGGGGGAGCGCGAGAACACGAACGGCGCCCGCGGCCAGGATCTGAACGTCAGGACTCACAAGATGCCCAGCGGCTGTCGCCTCGGGCCGCCGTTCCTCCCCCACTCTCTAGCTCCTCCTCCTCCTCCTCCTCCTCTTCCTCCTCCTCCTCCTCCTCCTCCTCCTCCTCCTCCTCCGCCTCCTCCTCCTCACTCCTCCTCCTCCCCCCTCCTCCTCCTCCTCCTCCTCCTCCGCCTCCTCCTCCTCCTCCTCCTCCTCCCTCTCCGTCCTCCTCGTCCTCCTCTCTCCTCGTCCTCCTCCTCCTCCTTCCTCCTCCTCCTCCTCCTCCTCCTCCTCCTCCTCCTCCTCCTCCTCTACTCATCCCTCTTCCTTATGAATAACTCCCCCTCCCTCTCCCTCTCGCTCTCTCCCTCGTCTCTGTCGTCGGCCAGCCTCCCTCCTCTCTCCCCCCCTCGGGCGCAGAAGCGGGCGGAGGCCCATGCGGACCAGCAGCAGCTAGTGCCTGTGCATTTGTTCACCCCTCCCTCCTTCCCTCCTTCCCTCCTGCTCCATTTCCTCCTCCTCCTCCCCCCTCCTCCTTCCCTCCTCCCTCCTTCTCTCCTCCTCTCCCCTTCCCTCCTTTCCCCCCATCGCCGGCGGCCCTCCTGCTCCTGTCCTCCTCCCCCCCTCGGGCGCCCCCCATCGCCATCCCTCCTCCGCCCCCCTCCGTTGTCGCCCCTCCGTCGTCCCTCATCGCCGTCGTCCTCCTCCCCCCCTCGTCGCTTCCTCCTCCTCGTTCTCGCCCTCCCTCTGCCCCGTGCGATGCGTGCCGGCCGGCCCGGAGTCCCGGGAGTGCGTAGAGGATTGAGACTTCGGTTGCTCGCTTCATTGATTCATTCATTCTCTCCCGATCGGCGTCCTCATTCACTCCTCCTCCTCCTCCTCCTCCTCCTCCTCCTCCTCCTCCCCTCCTCCTCCTCCTCCCTCCTCCTCCTCCTCCTCCCTCCTCCTCCTCCTCCTCCTCCTCCTCCTCCTCCTCCCTGGAGCTGATGATGAGCCGCGTGAGGCACCTGCCGCTGCCCCTGGCACGGCGGTCGCTGAGGCTGCCCCAGCTGGTGGTGGAGCCCCAGCAGCAGACGATGTGCGGGCCAAGGCAGAGAAGGCCCTCCAACCTCCTCCCCCCGCCCCTGGCGGGGTGGGGGGAGGAACCACCGCCTAGTCTGGCCACACATCCATGCCTGCATGCGTCTGCCAGTTTCAGCGCTCTCACGGTGAGCGCCCAAGGGAGTTTTCACTGCCCGTCCCCAACTTTTGATTCGGATCGTTACGAAATCCATGGTCTCAGAGCGCCTTCCCATTTTGGGTCGTATCAAGACAGTGTCGACGGAGGGTGGAGCTCCCTCGACGCTCGGTGGGCCGACGCCCACCAGAGTTTCAATCTGTCGCAAGCTGTAGAGGCCACCCTTGCCAAGTCGGACAGAGCCTGTCCCCGACAGGCCGCTGGCGGCCACCACCCTGGGCTTCGGCACGGTCCTCCTGGATTTTTCGGCTCCGATGGCCATGAAGTTTTTATCAGGGCCGCGCCAGGCCTCGGAGTCGAACGCTCTCAGGCTTCCAAGTTTTTTCCTTTCCACGCCCCCGAACCCAGCCCTGGAGATTCCAGTGTTGAGCTCGTTATCCAGACTGCCAATGTCACGTCTTGGCAATCCGACTCGGGAGGCGGCCTCAGAGCTTGGCTCCGTAAGTGTGGTGCACACGTTCTCTTAATCCAAGAGCACCACTTGCTGGAGTCTGAGCTGGAGGAGGCTACTGGATGGGCCCATCGGCATGGGTGGAAAGCTATCCTCGGGCCTGCTGCTCCAGGAGTGGGACAGGGTACTTCGTCTGGGGTTGGGATCTTGGTCCAGAGTTCCTTGGGATGTCATGCTCCGCCTGGAGGCCATATCATCGATCGACATCGTTCGATCGGAGCTGTCGTGCACATTCCTGGCCGTGATCCCATCCTAGTCTGCAGCACCTACTTGCGCACGGTCGAGGGGCTCTCGGAGGCCAAAGGGGAGCTCCTAGCGTGTATCGGTACGGTCGTTGAGCAGGTAGGTCTACCCACCCTCATTGGAGGTGACTTTAACATGAGCTCCGACAAGATCGTTTCGTCTGGGATTGTCAACAGGTTGGGGGCGCAGGTGGTCGTTCCCAATGACGTCGTGGGCACTTGTGGCACGAGCATGCTCGATTATTTTATCGTTACTGCTGGGCTCGCCAAAGGTATCTCCTCCGTCAGTGCCATTCACGCGTCTAACCTCGTCACTCACCTCCCTGTGCAGATGCAGTTTCACGCAGGGATTGGGGGGCTTCATGGGCTCGTGTTTCGGAAGCCCCCGCCGTTGCCGATTGAGCCCGCGATCGGTCCTGTGCCTCCACCTCCAGATTGGACTGCTATTCAGTGTGAAGCTGATCGTGCCTTAGATGCTTGCCGCAGTGGTGACGTGCACGCTGCACAGTGCTTGCTCGACACCCTCTATAAGCACTGGGCCGACCTTTCGGAGAAGGAGCTAGCGAGGGGTAGACAAACCACTCTGCCCTGTTGGGGGAGCAGGGGGAAGATGCCACAGCAGCATTGGGTTGACATCCTTGATCAAGATCGGGAAGCCCCCCACCGACAGCCCCATTTGTTTTCGATCAAATGGCTCGTGAGCAAGTTCAGGCTCCTTCTCCAACTTGATGCGGTTGCTATAGGATCCGCCCAGTCCCAGGAAGTTCGGAGGTCGTTGCTCAACCCTCCCAGCTTTTTG